AATATAGAAAGAATAATAGAATAGAATAGACAATAAAATATAGAATTAGAATCGTAGAATAGAATAGAATATAGAACTAGAATAGAATAAATAAAACATAGGATTAGAATAGAATAGAATAGAAAATAGACTAGAATAGAAAATATAGAATAGAATAGAAGTAGAATAGATAATAAAATATAGAAAGAATAATAGAATAGAATAGACAATAAAATATAGAATTAGAATCGTAGAATAGAATAGAATATAGAACTAGAATAGAATAGATAATATAGAATAGAATAGAAAATATAGAACAGAATAATAAAGTAGAATAGATAATAAAATATAGAATCAGAATAGGACAAAACAGAACAGAACAGGAATAGAATTAGATTTGAACAGAACAGAACAGAATAACGTTATAATGCCTGCCAATAAGTGTACATTCAAAGGGAACGGAATAACGTTATTTTCCCTTTGAATGTACACTTATTGGCAGACATTAAAAATGAAATTTCGTTGCATGGAGCTCTTAAAGGGCCACCACCTCCAATTTTACTACATAAACATGACAAGATAAATAAAGAAATACAAAAAGTTCGGATCCTATGGAGGTTTTTAAGAAGAGATTCCACAGCCATTGGTCGGCGATGAGTTCATAGCAACAACGCTTAGACTTATAGGCTGCTTTACGGCCCTCTCTAAGTGACTGACAGCCTCTTGCCCCCCCCCCCAGCCCAACAATCCTCCTTAAGGTCTCCTGCTTGAGCAGGGGGTTGGACTAGAAGACCTCTGAGGTCCCTTTTCAGCTCTTTCCTGAGCCTGGTTCAACTGGGAGCCTGTTGGCAGCCTCCCTCTTCCTCATTCCTTACACCCCGAGTCAGCCTCGCCTGAGGCCTCCCCTGCTCCATCCTGGCATCGCCTTAGATGCCCCGTCTCGGCTCCGGATTCCCGGCTGACGTCTTCAGAGCCAGGACGAGGCGGGCGTTGGCACGGGGGCCCTGTCGGGACTGCCTGGCTGGCACCCGGATCCCTGCCAGCCTGTGGGAGAGCAGCTGCATTAAATCCGCCCCGGGGGATTGCAGTGGCGCAGATCACGCGGGGATCCGTGTCTGGACGCATATGAAATAGCTTCTTTAAATATGAAATGGCCCTGCGGCCTTCGGACGGGGCGGCAAGTTGAGGTGGGCGGAGGGATGGATGGGCATCGGAGTGGCTGGCAGCAGGTGACTCAGACCTAAAATCAGATTTCCCGGACGGATAAAGGTATTTTTTTCTCCCTTTTGGGGGGAATCTCATCCTTTATTCTTCCCAGAGGTGTCCATAAAGTTAAAATCATGCACGATGCATAATCATGTAAATGAAGCTCCGCCCATATTTTACACGGTGGCCATCTTGACTTTTTTGACCCATATCCTTGGGGGGAAATCGGATTCCCTTAACCGTGTCTGAACAACGGCGGTGATTCACTTAGCAACGGTGGCCGGGAGAGTCATAAAACGGGGCAGAACTCCCTTGACGAGAAATGTCTCGCTTAGCGACATTAATTTTGGGCGCCATTGTGGCCGTAAGTCAAGGAGTCCCTGTTTCAATTCACGTGGTTTGATTGATTGATTGATTGATTATTAATATTGATTGATTGATTTTAAATATGCCAAATGGGGCAAAAAAACCTTGACATGTCTCGCTTAGCGACATAAATTTTGGGCGCCATTATGGCCGTAAGTCAAGGAGTCCCTGTTTCAACCCACGTGGGATTGTTTGATTTATTTAAAATATGCCGAATGGGGCAAAACTCCCTTGACAAGTGTCTTGCTTAGCGGCATAAATTTTGGCCGTCATTGCGGTCGTAAGTCGTGGGCACCCTG